GGTGACGTCTCTACTCAGCACCGTTTTCCCGACAGTCAAATCTGGTCACCCGGTACCACTGCTATGGTATTAGATGCAGAGCAAGAGATCCTCTCGGCTATGGGTATACCTCGAGCGGATTATAAGCTTACTAGAGTGAGTCGGGGCTTAGGCACGGCAAAGTGACTGTTGCTCCCGTCTCGCGCTGTACTTCAGCGGCAAACCTCTCCGATATTGTCTTTTTATTCAGGTTATCGATTACGTGAAATCATCTGCAGAGCGGCTATCATCTAGAGACGTCGTGTTCACTGGCCATTCTCTTGGGGGTGGTATCGCCCTGGCCGCCGCGGCCTTGGTGAACAAGCCAGTCGTCGCGTTTTCTCCACCAGGAATGTATCAATCCATCAGCAAGCACCTATATCGGTATGCACCCGATAGGAGGCAGGACTTCCAGGTAGCACCATGTATTGAACCTATGGGGAATAATTCTTCTCAGGCCACTCATGACAAATCAGTGAGTATTATAAGCGAGAACGATCTCGTGTCGCATATTTTTGACACCCATGGCGGATTAGTCCAAACTACCACGTGCTCGACTGAAAGATTTGCAATGATCGGTTGTCACATGCTGGAGAATCAGATGTGCAATATTATCCGACACTGCTCAGGGTGTCAGGCTCGGCATGGCTTCAAATCCTGTACCTTCGAATACGATTCGAAGATCGTTCGAGCTGGAGTTGCCGAGGTTTTGGGTGTGCCATACCTAGATACGAACCCGAGAGATGTTCTACAGTTGATTGTTTCTCTCCGTTCCTATGTTGTTCCGTTACTATTGACTGCCCTTGCGGCATTATTGCTCGTCATGTTTGAGTGGCTTCCTTTACTTTGAGTGACAACTTTCGAAATACATCATTGTAACTTCTACTGATCCGTAAATGCCCTATTAGATGCAGAGCAAGAGATCCTCTCGGCTATGGGTATACCTCGAGCGGATTATAAGCTCACTAGAGTGAGTCGGGGCTTAGGCACGGCAAAGTGACTGATGCTCCCGTCTCGCGCTGTACTTCAGCGGCAAATCTCTCCGATATTGTCTCTTTATTCAGGTTATCGATTACGTGAAATCATCTGCAGAGCGGCTATCATCTAGAGACGTCGTGTTTACTGGTCATTCTCTTGGGGGTGGTATCGCCCTCGCCGCCGCGGCCTTGGTGAACAAGCCAGTCGTTGCGTTCTCTCCACCAGGAATGTATCAATCCATCAGCAAACACCTATATCGGTATGCACCCGATAGGAGACAAGCCTTTCAGGTAGACTCCTCCTTGACCTCTTGAGTTGAATAGTGTCGAGTTTTCTCGTATTCAGGCCACACACAACCAGTCGGTGACTATTATAGGAGAGAACGATGTCGTTTCCCATATTTTCGACACCCATGCAGGGTTGGTTCAGACCATCACTTGCAGTACCGAGCACCTTGCCATGGTCGGCTGCCACATGCTAGAGAACACTCTGTGCAACCTCATACGCCACTGCAAAGGCTGCCACACTCGACATGGTTTCGACTCTTGTCACTTCAAATACGACTCTAAAATCATCATGGCCAATGTGGCTCGCATGTTGGACGTTCCCTACGTCTCCTCAACTGCTCTGGATGTTCGCACAATACTGGAGTCTTCCCGCTACTATATCCTCGCATTAGTATTAGTATTATTCGTCATATTGTTATTTGCTTTATTCGAATGGTTACCCTAGCATGATCACTATATGATTGTCCCTTATTCGGCCATCGTCCGCTTCGGTGTTGCGTTAGGAAGCCTTTTGACGATTGACTCGGGTTGGGCAAGTCTGAGACACCACATGGTCCCCCACGTAGCTTGAGATGTCTATTTCACCTCGACACAGTGCGAGCTCGAAGCCATTGAGGGCCAGCTCACTCCCTCGAGGTCTGCTGTTCATATGTTGTTACCTCACTGGCAAGATATTCCATGTGGCCTTCTCCTTTATACCGACACTGCTTACTCGACTGGTCCCTCGTGCCGACTCCTTCCTCGCTATTGGTATGCTATACGTCTTCATTCAGGCTATGGGCATGCTCGGTGGGTTGGTCGTCCTCGCCTTATCTGGTATTGTAACCCAGTTTATAGTTTGGTTCAATTATGTATTCACTGGCAACACGGTTACTTGGTATAACCTCTTTGCATCGACTACGACATGCTACGTCTTCTATGCGACAATCCGATGCTCCTGGTTCCTCGGTCTGAGTCTTTGGGATATCGGTTGGCAGTCCTATGCGGAATACCCCGACTTGAGGGACCTTCTGGCTCCACCTGTGATGTCGATTGAGTCTTCGCCGGGCTCCGCTGGGAGGAATCCTGTGTTCACTGGCTTGCCTAGACAACCATCCTCACCTCGAAGAGCGACCATGCCTGGTAAGGAAGAAGTCCGTAGGAACAAGCAAGCCAAGATGCTACTATACGGCACCATTGTGGTACTAGTTGTTACTACAGCAATTGTGACTATCATCCCACTCCTGTGTGATCTGGGTATTTGGTGTCTTCGTGTTGATTGGTTACAAGGCTTGGCTGATGCCTCTAGTCGGCTCAACCGAATGTGTCGATTCTCTTTGCTTGTCGGCCTCTTTCAATGGACGCAACAATTCCAGTTTATATTCCCCCGTTGGTACCGGGCCGCTGGTGTTGGTGCAGCTAAGAGTTGGAGATCCACGTTGATCATGTGGGCTGGCTACTGTATCCTTGGTCCAGTGTCGGTCATACGATTGCTGCAATGGTCACTCTACCCCCTCTTCGGCCTCGATGCTGCTGGAAGGACTTCTGTTTATAACTTTATTGTACCCCAACTGGTCAATGAAGGCGTATCGGCTTCGACCATGGACGGCATCCTGATACTACTATGGATGCTACAGCAACTATACGTCTCTCATATAGTCGTTAAAGAGATCAACCTTTCAGACTGGCAAAAAGATGCTTTCTATGATGACTCTATGTGGCTCGAGAACACTATACAATTCAAGTGTATGTTTCTCGTGCCCATGTTGCTGCTCTTCTTCCGTGGCTTTGCCAGCCCCGATATGGGATTTACCTATGCTCAGAACGATCTCATAGTCCTTACATTAATCTACCCTGCACTCCTGGTCCTAGTATGGTGGTGTACTTACGCTTATATCTCACTGAGATACGTAGAGTTCTACAGGTTTGCGTCGGCTGCCTTCCTGTCATATCTGCTATCAGGAATAATTTGCGAGATAGCACAAGTGTCGGCCGGCGGGGCTCGACTCGTTGTTTGGGCCCACCTTATACGCCAGCTTATCAAACGAGCGTCTATACCGTTGATAACGGCTCCGCGCACTGGTGGGAAGTCGAAGAGAAAGATCCATGGAGTGGAACGTGCCTGGAGTGTTCTCGTCCTGAGAGTCTTTCTCGGTCTACTGTGCCTATTCTTGGCAGTCCGTCTTGGACTAGGAGTGCTTGCATGTGTTCAAGACGATAAAGGGCTATACCCTCATATGCCGTTCATCTCTGTTCATCAGTCACTGGATCATACCCAAGTCACTGTTGACCATGCTGTGATGAGTTCTAACTTTGCCCGTGACGATTCGCTCAGCGAAGGGCATGAACAGCATCTGGCTCGCTACGCTATCTGTGATCAATATTTCCATGGGCTGCATGTCACAGACTACGGCATGATGGCACTCGCGGCCTACTTCACTACTGTGGGAGATCAACAAGCTGCGATTGATGCGTTTTTCCCTGGTCAAGGAATGAAGGTCATCCCAATCGACGAAGGCGATGACAGGTTCTGGGTAGAAATTCAAATTGACGACAAGCAGACTGTGATAGCTATCAAAGGGACCGACGTTCTCCGAGCCAGTGACTATAATGAGGATATACGCATGTGGACAGAGCCAGTGGTGACGTCTCTACTCAGCACCGTTTTCCCGACAGTCAAAATCTGGTCACCCGGTACCACTGCTATGGTATTAGATGCAGAGCAAGAGATCCTCTCGGCTATGGGTATACCTCGAGCGGATTATAAGCTTACTAGAGTGAGTCGGGGCTTAGGCACGGCAAAGTGACTGTTGCTCCCGTCTCGCGCTGTACTTCAGCGGCAAACCTCTCCGATATTGTCTTTTTATTCAGGTTATCGATTACGTGAAATCATCTGCAGAGCGGCTATCATCTAGAGACGTCGTGTTCACTGGCCATTCTCTTGGGGGTGGTATCGCCCTGGCCGCCGCGGCCTTGGTGAACAAGCCAGTCGTCGCGTTTTCTCCACCAGGAATGTATCAATCCATCAGCAAGCACCTATATCGGTATGCACCCGATAGGAGGCAGGACTTCCAGGTAGCACCATGTATTGAACCTATGGGGAATAATTCTTCTCAGGCCACTCATGACAAATCAGTGAGTATTATAAGCGAGAACGATCTCGTGTCGCATATTTTTGACACCCATGGCGGATTAGTCCAAACTACCACGTGCTCGACTGAAAGATTTGCAATGATCGGTTGTCACATGCTGGAGAATCAGATGTGCAATATTATCCGACACTGCTCAGGGTGTCAGGCTCGGCATGGCTTCAAATCCTGTACCTTCGAATACGATTCGAAGATCGTTCGAGCTGGAGTTGCCGAGGTTTTGGGTGTGCCATACCTAGATACGAACCCGAGAGATGTTCTACAGTTGATTGTTTCTCTCCGTTCCTATGTTGTTCCGTTACTATTGACTGCCCTTGCGGCATTATTGCTCGTCATGTTTGAGTGGCTTCCTTTACTTTGAGTGACAACTTTCGAAATACATCATTGTAACTTCTACTGATCCGTAAATGCCCTATTGCGTTGTGTGATATTGGCGGATCTATGACACTTCTCGAACGATGCTGGTTGAGATAATACACAGTTTCTCACCTTCGCGTGCCAAACATCTACGTGAATCGAGGGACTCAGAACTCGACTCAACCAAATCGCTGCCATATTCAAGCCTCGTCGAGACTGCCTCCAAAACAGCACAACGACAAACTCAAAAAGAACTCGATACTGAATCCACATTAAAGAAAGTTAGATACTGCCGGTGAACGGATACTAAGCCGTATCTTAGGATAGTGACATGGCCACCCCACCCACGAAAATTGATTGCACTCAGCCGTATCTTGGGGTAGTGGCATAGCCACCACATCCAGGGACTTTGATTGCACTGAGCCGTATCTTGGGGTAGTGGCATAGCCACCCCGCCAACGCAAATTGATTGCACTGAGCCGTATCTTGGGGTAGTGGCATAGCCACCACATCCAGGGCCTTTGATTGTACTAAGCCGTATCTTGGGGTAGTGGCATAGCCACCCCACCCACGCAAATTGATTGCACTGAGCCGTATCTTGGGGTAGTGGCATAGCCACCCCGCCAACGCAAATTGATTGCACTGAGCCGTATCTTGGGGTAGTGGCATAGCCACCACATCCAGGGCCTTTGATTGTACTAAGCCGTATCTTGGGGTAGTGGCATAGCCACCCCACCCACGCAAATTGATTGCACTGAGCCGTATCTTGGGGTAGTGGCATAGCCACCCCACCCACGGAAATTGATTGCACTGAGCCGTATCTTGGGGTAGTGGCATAGCCACCCCACCCACGCAAATTGATTGCACTGAGCCGTATCTTGGGGTATTGGCATAGCCACCCCGCCAACGCAAATTGATTGTACTGAGCCGTATCTTGGGGTAGTGGCATAGTCACCCCACCCACGGAAATTGATTGCACTGAGCCGTATCTTGGGGTAGTGGCATAGCCACCACATCCAGGGACTTTGATTGTACTAAGCCGTATCTTGAAGTTTTGGCATAGCCACCACATCCAGGGATATTGATTGTACTAAGCCGTATCTTGGGGTAGTGGCATAGCCACCACATCCAGGGACTTTGATTGTACTAAGCCGTATCTTGAAGTTTTGGCATAGTCGTCCCACCCAGGGGGATTAATTGTACTCAACACAACATTGCTTCACTGGAAAGTATCCGTACATTACTAAAAGGACTCATGATAATGATTAGACATCAATGTGCGTCAATTAGGGAGGCCGCTTGATTCACTCATCCAAGGGTCAGATTGCAGCAGCCTCCGGAGCCGCCGGAACCTTTCCCTCCGAGAGGAGCATGCACTTTGGTCATTAGGCAAAGCAGTTAGAAGAGATCCTCAGGCGAGCAACACCCATACAGTTATCAGTAGATGAACAAGCTTAATTGTTACTTTTGTTCCGGTACGGCGGCCTGCTCATGCGAGACATTGACGGACGATGCTCCACCTGAAGGCGAGAAAGGTCACCTAGCGTATTTTGGCATCCTAGACACCATCTGGCGCATGGTTCACTCGAGTGCTGCTCCGCTTGGCCATGCCAAAACCTTACGACAGGGCAGTATAGGGGATAGTGCCGCTACCATATCTTCTTGACAGAGGAGATGACCCGCTGGGGCGGTAGGTTTGGGCCGCTCTACAGCAAAAGGGCAGGACTGGGTCGGCATGATGTTGAAAGTGCAGCAGACGAGCCTATGAAGATGTATCTCGGCGCCAGCGTCTCAAAGATGAGATGAGATCCAATACCGATTGACCGCTGATAAAACACCGCACAAGCTCAGTGCAGGAGAGAGAGAAACGTATTGATTAATATTAACGGTAATGCAAGAGCGGACAGTGATGATCGTGAAGCTAACAGCTATGCCCTAATCAGCTACTAGCACTAGACTTGCCAGCAACGCTATCGAGCAGTTTTTTATCTCCTCCCTGCTCTCCAACGACCACCACCTTGCTTTCTGCCTTGCCCTTATTCTTCAGCATTCCCTTGAGACTGCTGCCCACCTGCTTGCGAGTCATACTATTCGCCTGTTTCGTATCAATGAGCAGTTCGATCCAACCTTTAACGCCATCGTCATCTTGAGTGAAAGTACATAGCATCTTGGTGGCCTCGAAGAGTGGTGGACAAAGGAATAGCTCATCCACCGTAGATGGTGCGCCAGCCACATCGCATTGACGGCGGAAGAGCTCAGCTAAGACCAGGTACCCAGTAGTAGTGAGTTTAACAACACCATCAAGAAGAGGAGTCTGCTTCCGGCCTGAATCTCCCAGGAGGTCAGTGAGAGCTCCATCACCACCGAGGTACGCCAACTGAGGCAAAGCTATAAGGTTCTCCAGAGCAGGGCGTAGGAAGCAGTCCACTAGAGATAGGCAGAAGTTCTGCCGTGTCTCGACCGATTCGGGTAGGGCCGTCCAGCAGCGACAGGTTGTGGCATTCATAAGATTGAGAACAGATAACGTCAAATGAGGGATGGGCAGTAGACTCGACAGCGCTGTGAGGAGGGACCTGCCAAACAGGATGCGGCCCTGGTCACTGCCGAAGGGATTCCCTTACTTTATCAATTGTCGATCGTTCAAATAGGCCACGACATCATCACCGTCATCCCGATCTTCTGCCTCGTCGTCGGAGTCTATCATGTCCAGTCCCGCAAAGTGATTACGGTTGCGCAACTGCCGCTTAGTTAGAGACTTCCGATTAGCGGGTAAGGAAGGCCGCCTACAGCAAATAATACCACTCCTCCACCACATCTATCGATAGAGTACTTGGCAGGAGCAAGTCTGAGGTCGACTCCAGTGTCCACCTGTGCTAGCTTGAGGAGCTCTCTGATGCCGTCCAGAAGAGTCCTGCCACACCTAGCTACAGCAGAGTAGAACAGCAGACTCGTGGTCCCAGTCTTGTCGCCTTGTGGAGCACCCTTCTCGTAGACCTTCCAGAGAGCCTGAGATCAGACATAGGAAGAAACAGACCCCATCACTACTTACTGAAGGAATGTTTGAGTAAAGAATAGTGGAGGCCTCAACCAGAGGACCACTGGATGCATCCTTGAGGCCGGGCTGCAAGGCGTAACGCAGAAGCTGAAGAGAAGCGAGCACCCATGGACAGAGGGAGAACCCCCAGCATCAACGCTCACAAGCTCTAGGTGATTCGGTGATGTCCTCCCTGACTGAGCAGCGCTGACTGCCGCACCGACCAACTCAATAAGGCGGCACTTCAGCGTTGGTACCTGATAAGGACTATCCCTGGGGAGACTGTAATGGACTGCAGCAGCTACACGTCGCCAGACCCTTGCCAGTGCTCCTAAGGTTCGATACACGTTACAGCGCAACTGATAGAGTTGCCGTCGAGATTTGTCGCTGCATGCTGGGGTCGCTGTAGGGAGGGGGAACATGGCCTCGACAGTGCATGGCGGCTTGTGGCCTGCACAATCGATGCTTAGTACGACCGTGCATGATGGAGGAGTACCCATTATAGAGGTCCACTCGTCATGACACATGTCCACCAACTGGTCTTCCGCAGCGCTACTCGCCCTACGTTCGGACTGGGGTATCCACCAGGAACCCTGAAAATACATGGGTAAAAAACATCAGACCCAGGAATAGAACTGGGGACTCCCCGTCTAACAGTATGCTTACCGAACATCTGTTGTGCAAAAGAGTCATCCACTTCATTACTGGAGGAGTGATCGAGTTAGCGAACTCTACCAGCACCTGGAGAGAGGATCAGTCGAACTCATAACTACTAGTGGCAGCCCCACCTGGTCCATCTCAGAGCTCTCTTGAGGGCTGCTAGTATCCCTTTCCTCAGCGGCCTCTGCTGCAGAGAGGCAGCTCAGGCACATTGTCAGGAGACGAATAGCCTTCCTAGCTATGTCCTCGGCAGTGTCGATGGCGATACACTCGAAACGGCAGCCTTCCTCTGTGACTCTGATGAGGGTCGTAGCCACTTCATCGTAGATACACTTAGACTCAGCAGGGGAGAGACCCAACAAGAGGAGGCCCTCCACCGCCCAGGAACAGGACAGAACACCGTGGGAGCGACTCACCTGGACAGGAATATCCCAAAAGGCGAATACTTAGTGGGGGCCACCTACCCCGGCAAGGGAGGAGATCAGCTGGGCCTTATCAAGGTCCATCCCCGATAGTTTCTTGCACATACACAGTACAGCATTCTGGGCTGTAGTCATCATAGGGACATTAAGGGATCCATCAGGCATGGTCGGTGGCCTCGAACCATCGCTCATCTACCAGTAGCCATGTCCCCCAACACCTGTCCCAAGGACCTACGCATTTCTCTATCAACCCTCCCAAGACGTTGGAAGGCAGCCTCTCCACAGCACATGGTATGAAGTCGTAAAACCTCTTCAAGTGCTCCGGAGTCCAACTAGCTGTTGTCGAGAAGGAGGTCTAATCCACGGCATGGCAGATGACAGGCCAACATCAGTGCTTACCACACATGCCCTAGCCACAATGTTAGACAGAAGACTCCTCAGCTCTGTCTCGTCCAGATTAGCCTTGGGGTCCGCGACTGTCTGACCGTTGGGTTTGCTCGGCAATACGAACGGCTTCAAGAGACACTCTAGTAGATTCAGAGCAGCCGAATACCTGATCACCAGGATGCGGTGTTGTTATGTATGTTCGCTCTTCTCAGCTGAGCTTGAGAACTTCCTCAATCACCATAGAAGTTCAGATATAAACTCGAGTAAGAGTGTACAAATGCAACAAGAATTTCCCAAAATTTCCTCATAATTCTCATTTTCTCACTAACTAATGTAGTTGACCATGTGCATATTTTTCACCAAGAACAGCACTAGAGTATATTCCAAGTACCCTCACTACTCTTTAAGGCTGAGTTCATCGCGCTCCAGGATTGTAGCAGCAACCCTAACGGCCGTTGTATGTCGCATGGACACCTCAGTGTCGGGTATAGACAGTATGGTACGGAGTGTGATCAAAGCGCAGCTCTGAAGGATGTACCTCCGTAACCTCGCATGGCCAACAGCCACCTACCTTGGACTTGCCCACTATCATGTCAACGTCATCACCATAGGCCTCGGCATCTTCCTCGGAGAGCCTCTTCCATACAGCGCAGTACCTGTCCATGAGGGCTGGTAGTAGTAGGAAGCATCTGCGATGGTTACGCGTTGATGGGGACATCCCCGGCGTTGGAACCCATACCGACCGTGCGGTAATGTTGACAGAGGTCAGTACATGCCGCCTGGGGCTCTTGTTGGCATACCACCCAGAGGTGATAGAAGTACTCTGATGGAGACAATTCCAACCGAAAGGTCCCCGGATTGAACCCTGCACCTGCTAGTGTATCCGCTTGGTTCCACACCGCCATGCGGCACGGCTGGTCACTAACTCCGCTGTTGTTCTTGACGCCGGCCACAGCCCGCGAGCATACTCGTCGGGCCAGAAGCTCCAGAGCTGTCGACGCACAGAGCTGTAGGTAAGGCGATGGGTAACTTAAGGCGGAGCGATGCGAAAAAATGACCAATGTTCGTTCTTCTCACTTCCACATCAGCTTAATGGCTTGTAGAGCAGCACCGAGGTGTTCAGGGTGGTGGACCAAGAAGGAGTTGGTCGCACTCTCGACCATTTGCTGATGTTAATGGTCATGTTGGTGCTAACCTAGCCGAGCTTACCTGGATGAGGTACGCGGTTTGACGGTGCATCTCGTAAACCGACGATTGGGACGCTGTGATGGAGGCCTGAAAGGGGAGATGGAGCTCCCTGGGTCGTGAATGGCCTTACCACGTGGACCCTCTCCGAGAGACTGCATATGGCAAGTATGAGGCGGCCCAGCTCAGCCTCACTGCAAGGCCTCATGCTATCAGGCAAGGACACTGGCCGTGGCTTGGATATATTCCTAAAAGATTATCATCAACAGCCACCACCCAGAACTCAGTCCCATATCAACAGGGTGTAACTCCAATTCATGCGAAGCGGAATTGGAAGCGGACTTACTCTGCGAAGACCTGTAGAGTTGATATAACTTCAAGAGCTAGATGACGGTCCGTAGTGTTGGCCAGGATGTTCATCAGATAAACGTCGATCTCCAGGGTGAGGAGGAAGTCACATCGACAGAACATCACACCTGAACCCGAGGTCCCAGGTTCGAATCCCAGCGGCGGCGTCGGCGGTGATCATGATGAGTGACTTACATAGTGCTCGGAGCATGCGGACTGTGCTGAGGCTGAACTGGACTCTGTCAGGGAAGGCCGAGAGGAAGTGCTTGAGCATCTCGAAGAGGATCGGCTGGAACTCCGAAAAGCCCACCACCTGAGCAAACCAGTCACTCTAGAGCCGATCCGAGATACTTCAAGTCTACTTTCAATCCTCAATTTTGGTACGTAAAATTAACGTTCGGTCAACCCCTTATTACTAAAGCCTTCCGACGATTAGCAGCCAGGACGTAGCCCTCCTTCGTATCAGTAGCCTCCGCCAACTCCGATACAAGGTCAATAGTAAAACCTAGACAGAGTCATCAACAAGCCTTCCTCTCAACCAAGCGCTACATGCTTGATCACAATCATTGGCGGCAGCGGCGCTATTGCCGAGGACAGTGATGATGTCCGTCCATGCAGAGGGCCAGTCTCGGATACATATTTCCACAATGACAGAGAGCAGTTTGCTCCTCAGGAACCTGTGTGGTGGTGATAACACTCCCAACCTCTATAAAGCACGGCGTGGTTACTTGGGAACGGGGGCTTTACCAGACATGTCACTATTTTCCAGTGCTAGAGCAGCATCCTGGAGGGTACTCCTCACAGCGTCTTTAGAGGCTTCGAAGTAACGACCTCCATTGGAAGCGTCAGGTGACTGACCCCAGCGTCTAAGGACAGCAGAGTGAGCGAGGTATACAACAGGTTAGGACTCGTCACTTCATAACACCTTCCCGGATCAGAAGATTGAGGGCCTCCATCCCGACTTGTGGGGGATATCGTCCGAGATCGGATATTATCACACAAACGCTCTCCAGCATCAACGGACCTACGATTATGGCAAATCCCTCTATAGAAATCAGTAACGCTTCTGCTGTGAACTAAAAACCCGATCGCCTCCCCCATAGAAGTAGTAGTACTTCCTCCTATCTCTCTGAGCTCCTCCATTCTTCCCTCCCTCTCCTTAATGCTGCAAGACGGATCTGATAGCCGCCCTACTACCGACACTAGGCGGTTGACGACCTCCTCCACTTGGTTTGACGGGCCGTCAGAGGATACTAGAGTGGTCCGCATCGACGGTCCGGATGCTACTGTCATTGAGAGGAACGACAAGGGACAGCAGCGAGGGCACTACTACACCGAAAGCTTACGACCCTCACGTACGAAGTTCGATGACTATCAAAGTGCCAAAACAATTTTGCGATCCCGAATGGCAGCATGAACGCGCTTTCCGGAATCAGGAAAAGAACTAAGTGAGTTCCACGAATAAGGACCGCATCGCTGATGCCGAAGCCTCTTAGAAGATGATATGCTCATGCATAAGGCCGAATTACTTGAACTCAAGAGCTTCGAAATAATCACCACTAGGAAAATGGGGGTGTTATCATCATTCATCGATATTAAATAATTCCACGTTTGGTGAGCCCCTCGAATGACCTTTCTTACAACAGTACTGGCAAGGATGCTCTATCGTCAGTCCTCTGCGCGATTTCAAAGGCTCTACCGTGAGAGCAGGAAGTCACTTCTTGCGTCTATTTCAAAAATATTTTCGAAGAAGCATTCTTGAGCAGCGTACGCATATAACCGCCAAATTTCGTCCAAACCGCTTCCGAAATCCTACGTGAAGAACCTCATCCCGGGTCCTTTGAACCAGTAACAAGAAGTTCTTGAGCTCTAGAGACGCTCTCCACAAGAGCTTTTTATTGGGGATGCCCTCCAGCAAGAAGCTCGCTTTCACCCGTTAAAATGCGTGAGAAGCTTCAAGAAGTTCATAAACCATTTCAAAAATCTGGTTTTCATGAACTTATTTTTTTAAGAAACTAGACCTCCTCGGGCGCAGGTTGAAGTGGGTTGTGACCCGTTTTTGGCCGGGTTCGGCGATGGACCCCTTCTCAAAGATTAGATAGAATTTACAGACCCGTGTCGAGTTTTAGAACCGTCACGCGCCATGAAATATCTCGCGCGCCCAGCGAGTTGTTTCCGCTGGAGAGTCAACATTTATGGTGCTATGGCTTGCATGCTACACATCGTCCTCACATTTATTCCTGGGAGTTTTGGATGACATACTTGCGATACCTGTGATCCGTATCGCCTTTTCAACTTCCCCGAATGTCTATCTTGATGACAACATCCTCATGTAGACGTGGGGAAGTGCTGCGAGGAGAAGCGCGCGTTCGTCAGCAGACTGGGGAAACTATTTTCTCCCTTATCCTGTCCACCTAGTTTTATAATCGTCTAGTGGCGCCGCTTTATCATCAATAGTACTTGGGACTTATTCGTTAACCGACTTCCGCAGATTTTCTCAATCTTCCTTATATTCGCTCCCTCCCACGTATTCATGAAGCTAATAGCACTAGGGCACTTGCTGCTACGTACCGTGCCAGCGAGTCTACAAGGTAATGTTACTCCTCCTTCTGGTTGGATTCACTCTTGTGACAGCTGCGTTGGACGGGAACCCTCGGTCGTCCATGAGAGGGAGGGACGTATGCCAAGAAGGTCTGACAAAGATTTTCAGCAAGGTATGTTTTGACCCTTGAACTCACCTGTAGATCTCTCTCCCCCCTGCGTCAGGATAAAGTCAAAACCGCCGACTCGCCGTATGGCAAGCTGTGCACGCTACGACCTGATACGAGCAGTTTGAATCAACTTCAAGTTATCATTGATAGTGAGGGACACGCCCGCTTGGAATTTGCGACATGCCCTTCAAAACATCCTCTGAATTTATCCATCGGGTGAGCTGTGTGCTATCCCTTACATCTCTGAATGAGAAGTTCCGATCGCCCCTCAGGAAATGCCCTGAGAGCTGGTTGCTTCGCCATGTACCCCCAACCCGTTCGAGTCCGGGGAAATGTATGATTCTCGACCCGATGAAACTCGTTAACATGAATGTTGTCACCAAGCTCGACACTCGAAAGCCCTATGCGACGCGTGCGGACTCCTTTGTCGGCGTGCCTTCTCGGCTTAGGAGTGCTCGCGATCAGGATCATAATGAGGCCGATGGGCCTTTCCCTAGCTCCTTAGGGTCGGGTCCGACTCCCGAACTTGATCACGATTTATCCGCGGTACGCGGTGGCTCGACTGATAATTCACCGGTCGCTGATTCAGAAAGGAAAATGAACAAGCATGATTCGTCATTGAAAAGGGTGTTTCCAAAAAGGGTAAAGGACAAGGAGCACATCAAGGAGAGCATCTCTGAACCGTCCTTCGAGAATAAACATGCCGTCAGTGAGGATGACAAGAAGCACAATTCGGTGCAGAAGTGTTTAACGCGATGGAGGAAGTGTAAGAAGCTGCGTCATTCTCAGAAGTCGACGGAAACGCCATCCGACCACGTGTCGGTCACCTCTGAATATTTGACGGTTGACCCAAGTAGTCCTGATGCCTGCATATCGGTCTTCGTTTATCTAGAGTATTTCCTGCGATGTCGAGTAGGGCAGTATAAAAAGAAGTTGGGACATCCGCAGACTCTCTCGGCTGAGGAAACATCGGTCGTTTTCCTTGAATACTTCTGTAGTTGGGCATTATTCATGTCCTAGTGAGATAGCCAAGGTGATGTGTTGTGATCCCTTCATTCTGTTCCAATAACTACATGTTTTGCTGTACGTGTTCATTGGAGCTCTCTTGCGTTCAGTCGGTAGGACGTGATCTTGTTGGAGCCAGTAGCTGTGGCTATTCATCATCCCTTGCGTCTTGGATAGGGAGTGCTGCCTCTTTATTGAAGAACCTTCTGACATGGACTAAGTCCCCGAAGCATGGTATTGATATCCTCTGTGTGTCGGAGGTCCAGCTCATGGAGGTACGCGAAGGCTAGGGCGCTGAAGAAAAATGGTGTCACAAGCCGAACAGCGCTTCCGCTGTTCCGTCCCCGCGCCACGGCACTGACTGAACCTTCTACTGTTACTACGTATCACCATCAGCTTCCATCGTGCCCTAACACATGTTTGGTTGCCAGTTCAGCCCAATCGTTTTGTGGCTAACATCGTTGAGCTCATTACTAGAGCTCTGTCAGGATTAGTAGGTGGTAGCTGGGGCACTCATTTTTGGCTAGCGAAGGTGTCGTCTTACTCGGGCGATGACTGTAAATCGTTATTATGTTTCTTTGTTTTGAACTGACCTGGAGAATAAAACCAGTTGCAGACTGATGGGGTGAGATCGCTGAATGGCCTCATGTTGCAGTAGTGTGTCTCACCCTGTAACCTGATGTCTGTCATCGGGCGGTTTAGGATGTGGGTGTTGGCAGGGCAAAGCAAGCCCTCGCCGTCTGTAGGGCAAACGCTAGGTCCATTGGGCATCAACATGATGGTGGTGAGGGGGTGGGAGGGCTCTGGGTATGTCTAGTATGTCAGCAATTTAACAAAGAGCTCAATGCTCGGATATCTACGGTGAGACCCAAGGTGCCGGTCCAAGTCACCCTGGTTCCTAAAACGGATAAGACGTGAGCCTTATTGGTGGCGTTTCCTTCTTGTAGGATAGCATAGGTACGCGTTCTGGTTGAGGACACCTCCAGCGAATTGGTTCATAAGGTGAGGCTTTGTGGTTCTATTGAGGTCAGCCCGAAGCGTCTATGTAGGCGGGTTGCCAGATTGCCTCTATGTGGGGGGAAGGGCCATAGGAATATAGTTGGCACTATAACGCTCAAGGAGGTTTACCATATAGCGAGGGTAGTAGGAGAGGCTCGTCTTCTACGGTGGGGGATGGGTTATTCAGGCTAAGAGCATGGATCCAACAAACGTAGGGAAGCCGTTGAGGTCGATAGTCATAAGCGTTATTGGTGAGTCGACTCGGTAGCTGAGGATGGTTCATTGTAGCTGGAGGAGCTGACGTAGGCACAGCTCACGCCATGGGCATCCAAGTGCTCTATAAGCTGCCCGTACAGCATCAACATAGAGACGATCAGCCTATCTCTGATCTGGATAGGCTCAAGAAGGAGACCAGGTACTATGGGGCATTACAATAGGGTTTACCTTGTCGGCTGCGATATGCCTCCACGTGGCTTCGACGGCATTAATAGGATTCCCTGAGTCTAATGGTTGGGGGCACCCTAGGGTCTCGAACAACTCGTACCGACTCGATATTTCATTTCCTTTGGGCGTACTGTACGTTTGCATCAGGGCTCGGTCCAAGCTGATGAAGCGAGGTTCCTAAGGATCCTCGTCCCCATCTGTTACTGCGCATGTTTCTGGTCGTACGATGTCGCTTGTGTACAGTGACGACCCCCACGGGATCACCCTCGGCTTAGCAGGGTTCGCTACTTCCCTATGTCCTCCCGATTCAATCGGCCTGCCCTTGCCTGTAGATGTAGTCGGTTGTGTCGATCCTGCCTCCAGAGGACGGGGGTCTGAAGGCCTGGTCGATCGACCTTACCGTTGGTGACGTCTTCACACCTCAGAGTGCAGCTCGATCTTCGGACGAGAGTCACGTTACATGCTTCCGGCTTCTGAACGGCCTGAAATCCACTTCGTATTGAAGCCTGGAGTGCTCGGTTGGTGGCCTCGTGCTTGTCAGTACATGTTTGCGTATACCAACCGCTGTTTCCTCCAGAGTATGCTGAGAGCTCTCGCTTATCAAGTATTGGTGTACAACTCTAGCGCCTTAGGGTATCGAGTCAGTATCCCCAGTAGAGCAGTTGAACTTGGTGACCTATGGTCGACAGATGTATATGAGTTTAAAGATTGCTTGAGTGTGTGATGGTCATATCCCTAATGCTTCCTACCTGCTCGTTGTTCTGCGTTTAGTATCATGGGAACCTCAGTATGGGCATCATCAGTATATGAACGATCGTATATATAGGGTCTTGTGGTCTTCAGCGGTTGACATTCTCGTGAGCGATCATCGCTCAGCGATGCACTGATTTATGCCCCCTCGAAGGAAGCGCGTATTGAACCGTTGCCCAAGGTGCGGCAAGGTGGTTTCTAATAGTGTGGACCGGCCGTGTGTTCACTGCGGGGCTCGAGGCGGAGTGCGCCGCCCATCCCAGTCAGAGATGGAGGGCTGTGACACAACGCGAGAGTGCTTCAATGCAGAGGTGATAGAAGGAGAGCTTGTGGCTCATGACGGGTCGGAGGATATGTCGTCCAGTGGAGGAACAGAGGGCACTCCGATTGGCTTACAACAGGCTGGGAAGGATGTTGATGAGGTTGTAGCCGAGGTAGAACTGCATAGAAAAGAGGTGAATATGGGTAATGCGATATAGCGGGGTAACGGCGTTACTCAGGAGCACACACCTTGTAGGCAGAGCACTGCTGTAAGCGACTTGGATAGGGTTTCAGCCTCCAGGGAGAGGTATCGAGCTGAAGCTATAAGGTAATAGCTATCCTCGCTATAGGGTTGTCGATATTTTGTATAGGTTACAGGCACGAGTGAGGGACTTGACCGTTCGGCAAGAGCAAGTAGCAGAACAGGCTAAAGCCAAGGACGAAGCTCTCCATGATCGTGATAAGCAGATTACTCAGATGCAACGGGTATGAGGATTTATCTCTGGCGTTGGTGTTGGAAGGTCGTTGTTTAGACTATAGAGAATCTCCGCTGTGAAAAGCTGGCAGCGAAGTTAGATGCAGAAAAGGTCCGCCAGCAAGCCTCTTCAACGCGGTGTCGTCTTATGAAGCACAATGGCAATCTAGTGGAATATTCGGCGAAGTTGCGGTCCATAATTCAAGAGCTACAAGTACCTCTATGTTGCATCACTCGTCTCTCTTTCGCACCTATTGCTAGGCACAGTTGAAGGTGAGTAATGCCTCGATCAAGGCTATCCAAGATGCGGCTGAGGACCTCTCACTTACTGCAAGGAACTCTGTTATTCCATCGAAGGTATGTCTGCCTATACTCATAGACTTATGATCGTCACTTCAGGTTGTTGATGAGCTCGTCACGTCGTTACCACCATCACCGTCGCCGAGCTTGGACGACGACAACGGTGATGATGATGAGGGGGATCAACCGATGGAGCACCAAGGGGGCGAGCCTGGACGGGGTGAGCTGGGCAGAGGGACACTTGCTGTAGATTTGTTTCAGAATCGTCAGCGTCATCGAAGCGAGCGGTAATCAATGAAACTGATAGTAGTGATGCTCCTAATAAACGTGTGAAACAAGAAGAGTGAGCATTCGATAACTACCGAATCTGATCATTATCGATCCCGCTTAGCGATGACCATGCAGACCTACCCCCTGGCCTCATAAGGAGCGCTTAGTCGATGAACGGGCATCGAGCTACCCTGTGGGGATTCACTCAGAGCTGATCGTGGTCATTGCAACTATTGTTTGTGGACATAAGCGTTTAGTTATCAGTTTCAATAAACATTTTGACGCATAAGTATCGAAGAGTGACCCTTATATATGACACAAGTCTTCAAATGCATCATCTCAAATTGAGTTACGTCTAGCATATCATTACCAATGTAGCAAAGTCGTCTGAATGATCGTAGGGGAGAACCTAGAGCCATATTTGTGTAGTCGTGAGTGTTACGTGTGCACGAATGTATCGCAAGCTTCTGCTGTGAAGTAACGGTTTGCTACATACACTATTCGTTGGTGGGTGCCTTCAATGCGGAGTCTCTCAAAGAGGCTCATCCAGAAACCATATTGATGTCAAGGTTAGTTGTCAAATGGTGGCTGATAAACCAATACAAGATGCAATGGTCACGTCGTTGTGATCGTTATCATCTTTACGAGTGATCCTGAGAGTAGCGAGCTCACAGAGCAGCTCCCATATCTCGGTCTGCTTCCCTTCGGAAAGGAACAATGTCCAGGTAAGGACCTTTCCTGCTGCGAGATTACTCACTACAGCACTTTTTCCCAACGACTTGCACGATGGATCTCTCAGGGAATTATGTGGAGCGAAGGAAGCTAGGAGTGGAAGCATGCGAGTTTGATGCACTTCCCAAACAGGCTGATCTTCGCATGCCTAGTTCGATCATTGGATGTTGCAGTCGGCGGTTTAGCTGGAAGATAAAGTCAAGATTCGCCATATATGTCAACCTGATAGTTATGATTCGACGAGTTGTTCAATTCTGATAGTAGTAGCTCGTCCGCCATCTTCCAAGGGTAACGACAAATCACCGAGCAGTTTAAGCCTCGTCTCTCGGGCGCCCAAGTTCCTTTTCCCCCAACCCAATTTTTTCTGGTAAATCCTCATTCTAAAGAATAAGCCCCTTTTCTGAAGAAGTTTGGCGCACGCTCTCACCTGCATTCCGACTTAGCCTTGGATTACAGCTTGGCCTTGGATAACAGTTCGGGTTTCTGGTTTTCCCGTCGGGTTTCGGGCTTCCCTTTCTCCGTTAGCCCATGCTCGGCTGAGGAAATGCAAGATTAGGGAAGGGCGCAAGATAGAAACGAATCTCTCGAACGACCAGTGGTTGCCAACATTAGCTTGTGCGCGTGGAGTAGAGGGGAACTGAAAGAAGTCGGAAGCCCTCTTGTTGTTAATAGTATTACGTAGATATTGGAGGGCTTCTTGGCAGCAGCAGTGGGCATCGCAAGTACAGTTGAGTTTATATTTTTGCCTACCGACCCTCACCGGGTATCGCAATGGCTGAGTGTAGCACACCGTCGACGTTGCCGGGCTTGGATAAGGGTAGTGTCCATCGCTATTCACCTCTTGTTGAAATAAAGGACCAAAGTGCGCCACAGAAATGGTAGTACCACTATTGCCTAGCACATGTCGTTTCCTATTAATGTATCGTATTAGGTTTGAAGGGTATCTTGCCGACATCGATGTAGCCAAGAAGATGGTGGGTGCCCACTGATTAGGCTTACACCCGTAGCTTTCCAAATTTAGATAACTGTCGCTTTTCAAGATAACATTTGGGCACCGAAGACTGTACCCATGTCGGAGGTAGTAGGCCTTTGACCAGTGGTCATCAGAAGGATGTCTCCTAGGCACGGTTAGTGCCTTCCTTGATGAGCAAGGCACGCACCTCTGCACATGACTACAAGCCTATAGTGGGGGACACTGTTGAGGTAAGGCAATGAGGGTTCTCCCTGGTTGATTGCTATGGTCGCAGGTTCGATCCCCGGCTACACCGCATGCTCCGGCCAGTTGGTGGACTGGCGAGATCGTCAGCATTCGAGCTGAGGAATTCTTCTATGTCAAACACGCCGATTTACACGAGCCTATCATCGTCGAACGAGGGAACCTTCGTCGGCCAGTGGGGCCTCTTGAGGATGGAACCGATTCCGTCGGAAGCTCGAGTAAGGGAGCGTTTAACGTGGACAGAGAGAAGGGGATGATGCCAACAGGTCCAACGAACCTAGCAGACTTGAATTCGGAGAGTGTCAAGTTTCCGAAGGTCCTCGGCGAGTGGGTAATGAGTGATGACGGTCGAGGTTGTCTCAACCAAGTTGCAATCAAATCTGGCCTCGTCAAGGTAAGGGTATCTATGAGCCTGATGTGGCCGATTTTTGGTATTCGTTCCTATGATTTGATTCATTCACGATGTTATTAGGCAACGCCTCGGGCCGATCCCAAGAGCGGCCCTTCGGTGACCCTAGTTGGCAGGCAGCGTGATATCCATCGAGCCAAGTTGCTGCTTGACGTCCACGTTAAACACCAAAAGGAAATCCAAGGTTTCCATGACAAACGACAAGCAATGCTCGAGGTAAGTGCTCTTCCTATGGGAGGTGTGCTGCACCCTTTCACTCCTCAGGCCATGTCCTCTCGTCGTGAGAAATTGGAGAGTCAAGAGTCGACGTCCTTCAACATCGGTGCTGAGTTGGTGGGCGTTATGATTGGCAAGAATGGGGCTCACATCAGTCGGGTTATCAAGGACTATGGGGTGGAGGTGAATGTTGCGGACAAGGGCACAGCCAAAGACCCTCAGACTAGGAAAGTGGTCATATATGGTCCCACAGTTGGAGCTGTCAATAAGGCTAGAGCTGAGCTCGAATACCTTATCGAGAGGTGAGAGCATCGGCTGATGAGGATCGCCTTTACCTGCTGCTACTACAGGTATCCAATACCGCAGAATTGCATTGGTTGGGTTATTGGCCGCCGTTTTGCGACTCTGCATGAAATTGCTGATTCTGCCAACCTGAACTATGCCAAGCTCGAGGATACGTCTCATTCGCCTTGTCTGGTCCTTTGTGGGAGAAGACAGGACCTTGACGATGCCAAGTTACTCCTGGATAGCCACCTACAGTATCATGATGTCTTTGAGGATATGGCTAAGGAGTCTCGACAGCTCGGTGATGAGTTCTATCGTCTAAGTGATAGACCGATCTCTCGACGAGGAGGAAAGGGCAAAGGCAAGCAGCGTCACTGTGGCATCGAACGGGTAGTGGTATTTTTATTAGGTAGAAGTAAGAGCGGTGAAGTAGATGGTAAGGGCAGAAGTAGAGGGTCGTCTGACTCGACAAACTCAACTGGAGGTGGTCGACCTAGTCGGCCTGAAAGACGGAAAGGGTCGAGCGGCGGCTCGCGGAATGCTGAATCCATGGGGAAGAAGTGGGCCCAAGTAAAGAAGGAAGGAGCACCAGTGATCGCTAGTTGATGGTGACCACCTCGCCTTGCTGCTGTCTAAGCTGATGTATATTTTTGCTAGAGTACAGTCCGCCATAATGCTGGCATTTATCGTATGTTTTTGATGATTGTATCATCGTTGGGGACATTTGTCCATTTGAATGACTCTCGCAGCCCTTGTATTGTTCGCGAGTCTCGAGACTTCTCGACTGTGAACAGTTGCTGCTCCTTGGTAGTGTTCAGGGCATTATGCTAGGCTCTGTGAGATAAGCTTTGAATGTTCATATGCCCTTTGAGTTCGAGTAACCAGTGACCACTTGATGATATACAAGCGACATACAGCGAATGTTCGCTGGTCTCGAATACGAATAAACGAGTGGGCGGTTCAATTTTTCGAAAGTCGCTCAGTGCAGAGCAATTTGCTCTTTTTCGCTGTTTGCTTTGAGCAAACAGTGGAAAAGTATCGGTCAAGGTTCTAGCCACAAAATTGATACATCGGATGACCAGTGGAACGGTCGTCGTCTGAGCTGAGCACGCTTGTCTACTGAATGATGAAGGAGACACCTTCATGCGTATTAAAGCAAGATAGTCGCGCGGAACAGGCCTTGGTTTTTATTGGAGGGCAACTCAACCACATCTCAGCTTGAAGAATTCCTGCTACGAATTAAGTACCAATCGATTGAACTGAGTTAGGCAGATTCGACTGTCTCCTGAAATCACAGCCTGATTCGAGCCGCTATGTTCGCGAGCAGACCGGAGCTGCAGGCCAACTGTGCACAACAACCTGATGTGTTGTCAACAAGGCTCAATGATAGAGTAAATAGAACCACGGAACTAACTGCTCTCGTGACGCAGATCCTAACCCGGATTGTACTCTAGTAAAAACGTTGGAAGAGTCTCAAGTCCTCATAACAGAGGCTTTGTAATGACTTTGATGGGACTTGAGACTCCGCTTTGTAACAAAGCGGCCCCACTTAGCCGTGTACGAAGACAAGTATTGTGTGTACACAATTCCAAAGGGAGACAGTTGTTTCACGCTGAGTGCTAAAGATATGTGAACATTCATCTTCATCGTCATCAGTGATTTGTAAGCGAAAGAGTTCGATTCATTTGTTTGGATTGGATAGTATTCTTCCATGTAGTTAAATTTTTAGTTTCTGTTAAACATGTCAAGCCCTGTAGAGAATTGGCTTACTCTCGATTTCGACAAGAACACTCGTAAGGAAGCTCAAGAGCTCACCCCCGAGGAGATCCAAGATCGCTTGAATCCTGATCATCGTATGGAGTTTGGTACCGCCGGTCTTCGTGGCGAGATGGGAGCTGGCTTCAACCGTATCAATTGTTTGACTGTGATGCAAGCTGCTCAAGGATTATGTATGCAGTTGATCGAGAGGTTTGGTGAAGATGTTCTCTCCCAGAGGGGTGTTGTCTTTGGTTATGATGGACGACATAACTCTCGTCAATTCGCTCATGTTGCCTCGGCTGTCTTCATCACGAAAGGTGCCAAAGTCTACCTTATCGATAAGACCAGTGTTACTCCTTCTAATCCATTCTTGATCGTTCATTTCCATGCTCTAGCCGGTGGTCAGATGACGGCTTCTCACAACCCGAAGCAGTACAATGGTTTTAAAGTGTACGGCGATAATGGCGCTCAGATTATTCCTCCAGTTGATGCTGAGATCGAAGCCAAAATTGCTGAGAATTTGGTTCCATGGAAAGATGCTTTGGAGTTATTGGATTTGGATACTTGCCTGTTGAAGGACAAGTCGAAGACCATTGATCCTTACAATGATGCTCTGTACACTTACATCGATCAGATGCATCACGAGTTGTGTCGATTCCCCGACCTCAACAAGGACTGCAATTTGAGGTTCGTCTACACGGCTATGCAAGGTGTTGGTCTTCCGTTTGCGACTGGTTTGATGGACAAGTTTGGCTTCCCGAAGAAGTGTGTGTCGATCGTGGAAGCGCAAGCTCATCCTGATCCTGAGTTCTCCACTGTCGCCTTCCCTAACCCTGAGGAGAAGGGTGCACTCGATATGAGCAAGCAACAAGCACTTGATGAGGATGCCGATTATGTCTTAGCTAATGATCCCGATGCTGATCGTTTCACCTCTTGTGAGAAGCAGAAGGATGGATCATGGCATCAGTTCACTGGTGATGAGCTCGGTACCATCTTTGGTGACTGGCAGTCGCTGATGGCCCATCGTCGTGGTGTCGATCCGAAGAACTGTCTCGTCATCAATTCTACGGTGTCCTCCAAGATGCTAAAGGCGTTGTCTGATTATTACGGTGGGGTGTATGAGGATACCTTGACAGGTTTCAAGTGGATGGCTAACAAGTCGTTGGAGATGACCGCTGAGCACCCCAACTTGGTACACTGCACGGCTTACGAGGAGGCATTAGGAAGTGCCCTCACGATGAGCGTACCTGATAAGGATGGTATCAGTGCTTGCAGTGTGTGGTGTGAGATGGCTAACTACTGGCGTAAGGAGAAAGGTATCACTCTTCTTGAACGCCTTGATGAACTTCGTAAGATGGTTGGTCATTTCGCTCAACACAATGGTTACTTCATCTGTGATGATCCGAAGGTTATGAAGCAGATGTTTGATGAGTTCCGTAATGGAGGTAACTACAAGAGCGAGTTAGGTTCATCTAAGATAGCTGATGTTCGTGATGTGACTCTTGGTTACGATTCAAGGAAGGAGGATAAGAAGTCCACCTTACCTGTGACACCTGATGCTCAAATGATCACCCTCTACTTCGCCGATGACGCTACTGTTACTATTCGTGGATCTGGTACCGAGCCCAAGGTGAAGTATTACTGTGAGGCTAACGATAAGGAGAGTATGGAAAAGGCACAGGCGAAGCTCGAAGTCGTTGTTAAAAATGTCATCGATTACTTCCTCCAACCCAAGAAATACAATTTGGGTAGTCGATAGAAAGATTTGTTACTATGCCGTCTTGATCCCAGAGAATTCTGGGTTTCACTCTGATGGTGTTTCATCATAAATCTCTTTTATTCGCGGATTCATTCTTTATATGCGATACATTGTATCGTCGAATCTCTTACATTCGAAAATCAGCGTTGTTGTGTTCAGTGATTATTGGTCTATGTGGAAAGTGGGTTGCTGCAGGCGAGATGAGATTTATAATCGAACTTGGCGTTATTTGTGTATAGGAGATAACCAAAGACCTTGCGAATGGTCTAACCGAGTTCTAATATGCACGTTCGGTTGGTGTACGTAACTAGATAAGGGACTCAAATGTACGAATCCTTCGTCGAACAGGTATATGTAGAGGATATGGTAGATTGCTATTAGCAGTTCTATCAGGATGCTGACCTAAGCTTTCTTATTTCTTGTTAGCGCTATTCAGCGGTCAGACTCAAAGGGGGGAGTTGACGATAACATTGTTCCGCACAGTATGCTTCGAAATCAGCGAAATCGGTCGGTGAACAGCGATAATACGAGTTAGCTAAAAACAATGACAACTCTCCTTCCCACTCGATGAACTCAAGACGAGGATTACTATAAAGTGTGTCGAGAAGAATGCAATGGTGTTAAAGGGGGCATCTCGACAGATAATATAATAGGCGACTTACACAGTAGAAGGCAACTCCCTCAGATATACAGCAACTAGGGCTCCCCTTTACCCGACAGTGCACCTGAGACAACAACGAGATGTCATAGTCAGCAACGTGCAAGGCAAATGAGGTGCATTATGGAGCTTCACACAGAGAAATGTGTCTTCAGATTGGAACGACAAGTCATACCCATCAACCCCATATACTCCGTTCTTACTTCCCGCCTCAGCGTCTGAATGACGATGATGCTTCCTAGCAGTCGTAGTATTATGCTCCTCAGCCAAGGACGACGAGTCGCTAGGATGTGTGTGGGAATCTGGGCTCTCACCAATACTCACTTCCACAACCGTCGAGCCTGAGTAAGAGGTCATAACATAGAGCGACGACCCCCCCGAAATTACCTGATGGGGACGACTTCTTTTTGCTTCCCTTGAGCATCTTAGTGAGGCCCCGGAATGACTTCGGTATTGAACGAGCTGACGTAGATGTCGGCAAGCATCGGGTATGCCTCGAATACTACCTCCGGATTGTGGATGCTCCCTACTATGCTGATCCACCGGTTCCGTTTCCTCCAGCCGATGAGGCCCCAACGGTAGAGACGTCACCACCCCCTCCTCCTCTGAAGACAACCCCGCTAAATACGATTCCATCATGTGACCATCAGGCACTACCAAAACCAGTCTTTTCAATCTTTTCCTCGAGAGCCTGCTTGAGTTCAAGATTCTGGTTCAAGAGAATAGTGAAGTCGGAAGAAGCCAGTTGTGATTGATGCAGCACTGTCTCGTACCTGAACAACCATGATAGCATTCTCGGTAAGTCTCAACCCAGCCGCTCGCTTCCTGTAACCCCTAGCAACGTGTACCTAGACCTACCTTGACTCCATAGCCCGATACTTCTTCGTGAGCTGCTCTATCTTAGAATCGCGGTGAGTGATCTGAAGGGTATTTATGGTTATGTCAACCCAGCACTCTTCTACCTCTATCTCCAATGCAGAGTATTCAGTCTGCAGCTTATTATGAGCAGCGGCCAAAGCTTGGAATTTAGTCACGAGAGCATCATACCTACACGAAGTGGCAAAGGAGTGGTACTGGAGATGTTCAAATCCATAGGATCAGATGATACTGTCAGGATCAACCGCATGAACGTTAACGGACAAGTAGACCAAAAAATGGCATTGCATTGGCACTCCCATACTACTCATCTTGAGGAACTGTATTCCCCAACGTCCCGTTAGAATCGCCCTTGACTCCCAAGGCAGCGTCTGATTCCTGTGCGCGGCCAATAGTCCCCAAACTCCTTGCATTAGCATCGAAGATTGAGTACTGAAAACGAACAACTACATCCTTCATGGCTTTGCCAAACCAGAGGGGATCTCATCCAGCTAGCCCACAATCACTTCACTATCTCATCGCGGCGTCTAACCAAACCACCAATATTACAGACAGTCCGGAGGACTCTATCTTGTCCTTAGTGATCTTAGGAGGCACCGAGGCTATGTCGGCCTTCATGGATATCATGTTGGTGCCTTGGCAGGTCTGTCCAACTCGGACAAAATGCCATGCTGAATGAGATCTCGTAGAACTACATGCTAGGCCCATTACTACCTCCTTGATCAAAGATGAAGACTCCTACAATAACGCTAGGGTAATGAACTGAGCCGCCACCGTCTGTTAGTCGGACGAAGGTCGAGGATACGGAAGTGGTAGGGAGCTGGGTGAGCAGACCTGACATAGGCAGACTGGGGCAGACGTCGATGGGGACTGCACAGTGATTGTCACTAAAATTCATTACGAAAATAACAAATTCCACTCCTACACACTACAGCTCCACGGACTCGAGACCTATCTCACGAGTGAGGCAAGAATCCCAACCTATTTCCTCTATCAAATGCTCGAAATATTATCTTGATACACAGAATCGCATTTTTCATGAATCTATGATTATTCGATAAGAGAGCCGTTATGGTATGATACCAATCCCTATCCTACTCCTCTTACCAGATTGTCTGTTCCTCTTCACCTGAGCTGCCAATTTAGCCCCGAATTTCCGTTCGAATATATCATCACTTGTGGCTCTGTAGAGTACTCTTCCACCATCTTCCTCGGATTTTATGAGGAACTCCAAGCCTGGTAACTAAACCGGAACCGTCCAATACAGCAGCAGTAGGAAGAGGGGATTACATCGAGGATGTTCTCGTTATTATAACAGCTCCCGCACATCACGATCAATCGATCTTCTGCTACTCGATTGCAGTCTAGTAGGATAGAACCTCCGTCCGACTCGTCCAGCGTCACAGCGCCTAAGTCGAGTGATGCGCCACTCCTCTGGGATGAATGTGCTGACTATTACCATCACAAGCTGAATGACTGTTGAAAAAAACGGTCCCATCAGGAACGTACGAACAGGACGATGCTGAATTGGTGAGCGGCCCTTGTCTCCGGAATACACTAATGAAGAGGAACAATTACTGCAGGTCATGCGCCATGGAAGAATATCTTAGATCGAAGCGAGCATGATACAGATATGGTCCAAGAATGTACGGCTCGTATGTTTGCCCTACTACCTAGCATGCAGATCGATCTCAACTTTTGGAGCACGGCACGTAACTCGACAGGGCACCACATGGGGCGGCATTTTTTCTTCCTCCTTCTCCTCTTCGTCCTTTACAGGCGCCGCCTTGACTGGGCTGACATCAACCTCAGGGCTTGTCTCCGGTGGAGCCCTCTGGCGGGGCTCTGAAGACGCAGTAGTAGTGGACATGTGGCTCACTGCCCAATGGAAATAAGAATATGCACCTGACGACTCCGTCGTGCGCTAAAACTGTAACAAGGAACCCCAGGTTAACGAGTGCAAGCTACAAATTAGGTTAACTGGTCTTGTTTAGGGGGTAATCGACCACCCTGAACGCCATGTGATACCGTATCACTGATACGGCAACACGCGCAGAGCCAAGTAGAGAAAGAGCAAGAGGTCAAAAGTGTTCAAGATGCGGTATTCTACTCGCGATTAATTCTCCAGGGGCCGTATGCGGATCCTGATTTATGAATCTGAGTCCATGATTCAACTCACGCTCTGATCCTGATTCATGATTCAAGTCACACCTTGATTCGAGAGAACTGATTCAGATTACTCTGACTCACCTGTTGCATCAGGATCCGCATACGGCCCCAGGACAGCGTCTATGGTGTACCCCCTCAGGAAAATGCCCAACGTTAAGGACGGTGATGGAGCGGCAATTTCGACATCGATCTATCCAGTCCGACGGTACGGTGGATTTGTCACTTATTTCATCAGAAAACGATCTGTGGCCAGAGAGAAGTTGCTGGGTATTAAAACGAGAGGAGATGATCTCCAGGCCCAAAGCTACTGTGAAGCTTCTGGGAAGCTACAGTGAAGCGTGGTGATGTTGTAACGTGTGATACGTCACTCGTATACGTCAGCTATCAGAAAGCGAGGCATTGCGGACGCAACAGCGACTTGGGTATTATATGGAGCGTAGGAAGCTCTAAGAAAATCAGATGAAGAACAAGTAACCAAACGTATTAATGCCCTGTTAGGCCCGTATTCAGGGAGTTCTTACTGAGTACGAAATGCCTCCACTAGAGGTATGTATCAACAGCTATCAGACGTTGTAGACAAGTCGTTGAAAGAACGAGATAAAGCTATGACAGGTATTATTCACGTCTGGTGTGTGGTAGAGGTTGCTGTATGCATCACTCAGTGGTGAGGAATGTGTTACTACTGAGCATATGCTGGCTTGTATTCGGACATGTATGCATCATCGATGCTTCAGTTGTGATTCTTAAGGATTTGCGTTGGAGTAGGATGGTTCGACAACTGAGATAGGACGGTTGGTAGGGTATTGTGTTCATGACCGATAGCACTGAGCCGTCAATGGACTACCTCGTCCAGTACGTGGTAGTACGGAAGGATCTCATGAAGGATAAGAAAGTGTGGAACCAAGGGGCTATCATAGCCCAGGTAACGCCCAGTGGAATTGGTTCAGTACCATGTGGTTACCGTTTAGGCTTGCCATGCATCAACCGCGGCAATCTTCGAGAGTATGAATGACCCCAATACAGTGAAGTACCTATCCGATATAGACAATATGACGAAGTGTGTGCTGAAGGCTGATGACGAGGCAACTCTTCGTGGTCTATCCGAGGTAGTAGGCCCGACTCACTGGTGCAAGTCTCTGTTGCCATTCAACCGTCGTCCTTAGGAGCTCACGACGGCTAAGATTGCCCATAAGCTGTGGATAGAGCAACCAGAGGATATCCCAACCGCTCTCGCCACTGCTCCTGCGTACAAGTCTTGTGTCGGAGGCTTCTTTAGAAATCTCAAGTTGCTTCGGTGATGAGTGGACTTGGTGTTCGAGGGGTTGTTAAAACACAGTTGGGATGAGCTGTTCGGTGATGCTCTGTGACGGAATACTACATACTTGGGAGAAACGACTCTGCGGGGAATCTAACCTGGGCGTATGAAATTTTCAGCTACGTCAACCTGATCCTGGACTATCAAAAACGAAAAAACGGGACCTCCATTACGAGAGTCATCACATGTCAGCGTGTCGAAAAACCGTAGGGCTGCAGTTCTCTTAAGAGAATCCGGATAGTCGTCTGGGTGACCCTGCACCGTGAGCGTCTGAGACGATCATAACTTTCTCCACGCACCACGAAAAGGACTCAGTTTTGGCGTGTCTATTAATCATGATGTTGGCCGTATTGGCGCGAAACTCCCACCCAAAACGGACTTCTTTGTATTCACGCTCACGAGGTTTTGAAGCACCCTCAACATATTAGGGTACAGCGCGTCAAGAGTATTGAGCGTCTTGACTCAAAACTCGCGCAGTACAATTACAATCGAAGTGTTGTCGGCTGCATCCCGAGTAGCGACCATAGCGGATACGCAGCACTCTACACGAATAGCTATTGATAAGGATGAAGGTGCAATGGTAACATCCCTGATAGCGGCATGATCCAGCACCCAAGCTATTTTCCTGCGTCTCTCCTCACGGGTTATGTGCAACTCGAGTACCCCTAATACTGGTTATGAGGGCCCATGAGGTGCACTGAGAATTGAGAAGACTTAGGAGCGTGAAATGGAGGGTAACGAAGAAGCCTTGGGCAGGCTTTAAAAGCACTTGCTCCTTAACCTAAAGTGTACCTTTTTTCTCTTGAAACGAGAAGTATCACGTAATCTGAAACACTTAGTCATGCCAAACAGCAAATCATCATAATCTTTCTTATTCAGCGAACTAGATCTGATTGTGACTGGTCAGACACATTTGTCGGACACAACAATACTCACTTGGATGGGTCTGCGGCAGACTGACGGCAGGGTATCTCCGGCTCACCGAGCCCAGTCGAGGTCCAAGGCCAGTGATCCTCAAGTTGGACTGCTGCTCTACCTCCAAGCTCAACCCTTCCAGTCTTCCTAGTAGGAAGAATCAAATGAGGACCTACAGAGTAGGAAGTTCCTATTCTTCAGATCCTCGTCTCTCGGATCGACTGAGTCGAGCCAAGAGAAGGGAGTCGAGTCGACTCTCTTCTGGACCCCGTCGTTGGCGCGATAATGCTGCTGTGTAAATGCGCTCAGTTGAGGGATTACACCCTGAAACAGGCTAAAGTTTTCGGAGACAAGCGAAGTTGTATGAAATAATCTGAAACGGGCGTATCTTTTCGCTGGAGAGCACGAGTGCTCAGGGATTTACCATGATACTCTGGCCATGCTGAGTCCTGTTGGTGCTCCTGTTAACCAGCCGATCTGCAGCTTTCGCATCCTGACCGAATGAGAATCTTCATCAATAACGCCGATACTTACGTTGGAAGTGCTCTATGCGCTGACCTGCAAAATATCCTCGAGACACCTACTAGGATTTATGCTACTCTAAAAGGAGGGGAGGAGTGCCAGGTGACGGCTCACCGTGCAGTCGTCGTTCGCAGACTGGATCGGCCAGGTCCCTTTGCCAGTGAAGAGGATAGTGTCTCGTAGAGACCACTCTAACATCCTCAAGGCTGCCGCTCAATCACAGCTGGCTGTGTAAGTTCAGACCCATGGAAGTGTCCCTCAGCACGCGTGTGTTATTCATTTCAATCCTAAGGCATCACTGTGAGCTTGTACGTGTATTATTTGATAGGTTCGATCTTCACAGTAGTGATCTTGAAGAGGTTGACTTCGTGTTAAGAAGACTCAAGTCGGAGCCGATAGATCAGCCGCTGGTAGCACTCAGTTTCATTGTCCTTCGGGTTGCTTGTCCAACAGGTATTGATATTGATATCCAACGTAATGGTCTGGGCAAAAACCAAGCCAAGCAGTGTACGTTCTGATCACTACACGGGGGATGACGATGACTATGTTAGGTCGACGAAGATGCTGGTGAAGCGTCTGTGTCTGAGTCAGCGCGCGATGATGCTTCCGCTGCGGACCAGTTCACGACACCGACCCTTCCCGTAAAGTTACCTCGCATGCTCATGCTAGATCATAGTGGATGGCGTCGAGGTATTCACAGATGCCGAGTGGTGCAGACGGGTGCCTTCGAGTCGCTATTGGAGTTGGAAAACACTGGAGACGTTAGCTCTATCATTGAACTCCGTGGAGAACATTACATCGTGAGTAACTCCGGAGAGTAACACTCACTTCTGTCTGGAATACGATTGTACTCCAATCCTTGAGGCCTCCTTGTTGCGGTAAGCAACACCACCCCACTGTGCTGAAAAACATGAGCACTAACACACACTGTAGAGGTCTACCATGGATGCACTCGCGACTTGTCGGTTGGATTGATTAATCTGCAGGTACGTCGTTTGCTCGGGGATACTCTACGGGAACGGTGAGATTGCATTGTAGGAAGGAGTGGTGAGTGCTGAGTGATTATGTTTATGTATGATAGTTACGATGACTTTCGTGCGGCCTGGTTGGGACAGGAGACCCATAGAATAATCGGCGACGGCGACAATATCATACCGACTATACACGTGAGTCATTCCGGGCCGAGAAGGTAGGGTTCGGGATCGCACCTCTGAGGTGCGATCCTGCGGAACATTCAGTCGTAGGACTGAGCCGTAAGCTACTTTCTAGTGCGGGCAGCTCCGTTGAGCTGCTCAGAGGGTGAAGTGTATCATTTCCTTCATTCCAACAAACCCTGAAGCCCTTTCGTCCTGATGAATGTGAGCCGGAAAACGGCCTCACTCGCAGATGATTCTTGGGTACATTACTTCAGAATTTGAGACTCAGATAGATTAGTATGGGTCCAAGGACGTTTGTAGATCTCCGCAGTGGAGCCTCCACCGTGGAGGTTTCTCCTCCCATATTTAACTCCCGAATTGAGGATCACCCCGGAAATCTCATCGACGCCGAGCACGGAACCGTACCGCCTGGCTTAAGGTACGCGACTTGGCCAGATGCGTGAAGCACTTATCTGCGGCAACCGAAAAACAGCCGTAGGCTTCCTTGTCCTTGCAGAAGCAGCGCACATTCTCCATCATCAGTTACATTGTAGCGGTTGATGAGAGTTTCACTGACCAGAAGGGAATTCTCACAGCCGTCGTAAATCACCTGGGTGAGAAAGTTGCAATTGCACGATTCAACATGAGCTTTACAGGTGCCGGCGTCCCGATTCCAAGTATTTCGCGCGATCAAGCGGTAGCTTGCCTTGACGGACGTCAGGTAGGATGTGATAGCGGTGGAAAGACTCTCCTAGTCGGCGTTTCGCGAGTTTTTCGTGACCCACAACAGATCCTCTATTCATGTGTCTTGAGTGTCTGCCTGATCGATTGACTCTCATCACCGTGTATTTATCAGCACGTTCTGAACCACATCCTTCATCAGCGGAGTACTTGATTGAGTGTTTGCCTCGCTTCAGCCTTTCCTCCTTGACCTTCGTTTCCGTGCGTCGGATTTCTTTCACCAACCTGAATTCTCTTGGTGGAGTAAGGAGGGCCCTGTCGCTGCCATTGACAAGCTCATCAAAGAGTAATCACTGCGTTGTGAACAATCAGTGATGGCAAGCTCTCCCTGCAGGTTCTGCACTTGGAGGAATTTGCGTCCTCTGAAGTTGGTTCTGATTGGACCTCCAGCCTCAGGAAAATCCTTTTATGCGACGAAGGTTGCTGAGAAGTGGGCCTAGCTTCGCCCTACCTGCTTGGGGACGTCGTGTGTCAGCTATCGCCTCGCACACATAACCCTTGGACCTATTATTGAAGGAGCATTGAAACGGGGTAGGGAAGTGAAGGAACTGATTGATCCGGAGAATCAGGAAGACGGGATAGAGGCATTGGATGTTGACTCTCTGCTTGAGAAGGACAGGTATGGCAAGCTTATGACATCCAAGTGGCAGGGCTCGTATCCAGAGGTTATCCACGAGCTCTGTGGATAAGCTTCTGGCTTAGCCACTGCATTGGCGTCGGAGCATGCTAGGCCTAGTGTGATGGACTCTTCTATCACGATCAGATTTTACCTTGCATTCCTTGAGCAGTGGGAGAAGCTTCAGACGCCTCGCTCCACTCCGAGACTCCCTGCACAATTGGTACTGCAGTTCACCAGCTTGAGTTTTGTACTTGAAGGATTTGCTCAGATATCTCGAGCAGTTCGCTATGTGTTGGAGGACGATAACGCTTGCAAGTTCAGAGGGTGGGCCGTCATGTTCGATCTTCCTGCGTATGTGCATGATACAGTTATGTTCTCGATGGGTTCCCACGTACTGCGGAGGAAGCTCATGAACTGTTCATGATACCGCCAGAAGGGAACGAGGAAGTTGAATGTCAAAATGGAGACGATGGGGCGCCGAGGAAGTTCGCGATTCGCTTTTGGGATCGAGCAAGCTCGAGCGGTGGCCTCAGGCTCATCGTGAACGATGCCATACGTCCTGGATGGGTGTTCCTACTCGATAGCAACCTTGAGTCGTGCAGGTGAGGTATACGGAACGAGCTGTACTTCCTATCTTTCAATCCAGATCACGTCTTGAAACCCTCGCTGAAGTTGACGTGGCGGGAACGCATAACACTGTAGAGGACCTTCAACGTCGTGCCGATCGATGGTAGTGGTCACGTCATCGGCACCATCCTTCTTCGCCTAGAGATCTCGTGTAACTTTGTGGTCCTAACCCACAGCCCAGTCCCTGGGATGAGAGTGTTCGTCTGGTCATTGGTTGACACTAGGGCAAGTTCCTCGACCTTGATTTCAGGAGGAAGGAGGTAGAGAGTCATGGTGAGGTGACGGTCCTGGATGCCTTGAACGGTGTTTTGGACGGGCAGATGGTCTGTCGGGAAATCAGAGTAGACCATTTCGTATCGGATTAGTGCGCAATCTCCTGTACTAGGTGGACGGTGTTGATGCTGATGATGTGGTTGATATTATGGCGCAGTGTATCGAATATGACGGATGTAAGGCGGTGGGTTCGACGTGGTGCGCAACTTTTCCGTGCAGCGCGAAACCTCCATGGACTTTATCACGTGTACCAGGTCCTTACAACTATCTTCCGTCCAAAAGGGATGAGGTAGAATCGAAGACTATCGAGATGGAACGTGAGGAGCTCCGAAGGAAGGAAGCAGAGGTAGGCCCTCGGTCACTGCTGATCGATAATCATCGCGGCTCCTCAGACTCGCGTCCGCGAGGAGGCTCTTGCGAAGGAGGCGGCTGAGATCGAGATCAGGAGATGTAACCTATTCGCTTTCGTCCACTTCTTTCCGTTTCCTCGGTCCAGTCCGTATGCGTGTCAGGTGCTGAGGCTGATCGTCTGAAGCAAGTGAGGGATAATGAGCAGCAAATTCTGGAGAAGTACAGCAGAAGTTTACGCGAGTGAGTTGTCCTGAGGCTCTCAAATTGGGGGATTGCTGTGTCAGTTACCTCCTTGATAACGTCGTACCGGTTCTGAGAGAGGGAATCATCGAAGCTTGTGAGAAGACGCCAGACGATGCAGTTTCTTTCCTGGCCGAGTCGGTCGAGCTGACGGAGAGTTCTTCCCTCGAGTTATCTTCCTTTTGTTCTATCTTCGAGCACTTGCATAAGGAAAGTGGCGTTCCGATGAGCAAGGCCGAGAGCATTCGATTGATCCAATGCGCCCTACGTTGTATTGCACATGAACACGTGTACTGTACACGTGTTGCTGACCCACGACGATAATATGTACACGGTGTACATATTATCGTCGTCAGCATTCGAGTAGAATGTAGCTTCTATAGTAGAGTCTTAACGCATTAACCGGATGGTTGCTACTCGTAACTAACGGTGAATCGTGAGGGCATTGTTCTCTTGGGTCCCTGATGGGATGGGCTCACACTGACAATCGCAACAACATTCTCTACTCCAGGTCTTTTTTCGTTTGTTGAGTGCAAATTGCACTGTGCAATCTTAAACTCTCGAACTGTTCAGGTATCTGTTCCACCGCTCAGTAACGGCTGGAGAGGGGAAGAAACCTGCTGAAGATTCCTCAATGGAGAGTAGGATCTAGTGACTGGATGATCCCGTCGGGATCTGGCCGTTGTCCTTGCCATGATTCAGTGTGAACATGCTCTCTAGTGAATCGAGTTTAGTAGTAGAGTCGCGGTATATCGATGGATACACTAATCGCCTCTGTTACTCTCCTGAAAGGACTTCGTCGCCAAGCAATACTTATCTTCATATCCCACAGCACGTCCGGGTCGTTCGATCACGTATTCAATCCAAGAAGTTAATTAGAAAGCTCATTGGAGCTTGTATTTTAAGCGAACGTATATGGAATCACTTTTCGGCGCCTCCAGAAACAAGGAAGTCCATGCTTCGGGTGTTATCGATGGTGAAACCGCGACGGCCGGGGACGTTACCTATGCGCCAGGAAATCCCAGCTAGCTTGCAAGCCAACTTGGCTTAGCCAAGGGTATCCAAGTGTTTCACGAACCCGGTCCTGTGGTGTCTGAGACCTCTAGTATGTTATGTTTCATTTATCGACGAAAGCAGACGGTTCTGCGACCCGCGTGAACCATATCTCCCTTTCGTCTGGTAGTTTGCATCGATGCTTACTCACAATCCCGGTTGGCCAATGACTCCTCAGCTCAAGACCTCTGGAGACTAAGGTGCGTGTCAAATCCAAGCCCACCTCTCAAAAAAAAAGGTCAAACAGCTGCACGAGCGTAAGTTTACTTTTAAATGGGGTCGTACGTTTTGGTGGTTTGCTGTCGCCCTACTAACTCTATAAAGTTTTTTGTATGCGGGTGATCTTATTATATATCTATTAAGATCATCTTAATCATGGCGCTGCGGATCTCGGCCTGAACTAAGGTAGAAGGTTTGGTAAGTGTAAAGTCATCAAACGTGTTTCTCATTCGCTGGGAGATTATTGGAGCGGCTTAGTAAGTGATACTTCACAATCAGAAGTTTGCAATGCTTTACGTATATGTTATGTATTCTGTATGAAGCACCTGACTTGTTGTCTATGTTGACACACACGACTATTTTGATAGAGAGCACTACAAGATTAAATAATGGTTATAATTTTCCAAATATGCTTCCTCTATATAATGATATAATGACGGCCAGCATTATCGTATCCAGATGACCTCCGGAAGGATCGTTTACCTGATGCATTGCATCACCATGCTTATACTTCATATAGAGAAAATACGATCGCCCCCGGCTTGCGTGAAGTGGATGAGGAGGCTTGCGATCTCCCTGATAACTACATTGCATTGGGTACCCAGTCTATTCGTCACTAGGCAGTATGTCCAATTCATTTTGTGTCGTAAAGAGAATCCACGGGAGGCTTGTTCTCATCGGCAGTATCGTCAAACTAAGACTAGAGAGATTACTGGAAAAGTATCGATATGTTATATGTTATCGATATGTGTGAGCTTTCTAACTCTGTTTTTCGAATAAATTATGTATTTTTTCTTGGCTTTCTGGTTTATGAATATTGTTCAACATAATTCAGAGCAACATTACTTTCGTTCTACCATAAACGAAACAAAAGGTACACCAGAATCTGGCGGCCAGACCACCGAAAATGGAATCATGGACTTTACCGCTAGATTCCTTGAAGCCATCTTTAAATATACTAGGTATTATTCTTTTACCATTCACTTTTTATCTATACCTTTAGGTTTATGAATGAAAATCATTTTACTTCGTATGAAGATCGTAGGAAGTTAATCAAGTATATCGATTCTCATAGTACACTATATGAATTTTGGAATATTTATATGGCATTACAAAAATTGTATAAAGATATAATGCAGGCTCCTTATTATGCGATGGACAACAACTACGGACTAAGTCCGTTTGACAATTTGCCTTAGTTTTATTTCAGATGCCTAAATACGATAAACTTACCTCACCTATTGTTTTTCAAGTATTAAATAAAAGAACTACTACTCCTTGGGGAGTTGATGAAGACCAAAGAATGGTGCATAATATTACGTAAGCCAATTTTTTCCTCAGTTTTGTTAGTGCTATATTTCTTTCTCAGCCGAATACCTTGCCGAATGACCCCACTTTGGTATCAATACACCCAGCCATATTTACTCATAATATGAGTAAGACTAGAACTTACTATTGAGACTTACTGTAAGACTCATATTATATCTAGGATTATGGTTCCGGCGAATTGCGAATTTTGCTTCCGTCCCGGATGCGGGTTCTCCTTTTCTGCTCATACTTGTCGTTCTTTTGTCACAGTTGAGTTTGACTGTATTAAAAACATCGCTCAGCTATCTATTCTAATGTAATTTGAAAGACTTGAGCAAATTGGTATCGATTCGGAAGTTGGTAATCTACACCTTTTAAACATCTAGTTCGTCTTTGGAACCATCAATTTCGTCGGGACGCGCGAAGTTGGAGGTACGAATCCGAAACGGGAAGATCATATTCGCAATTAGAACTTTCAACTTCGTCATAGAACTTTCAAGTTCGTCCGAAGTCGATAGGAAGTTCAAGTTCGTGTTAATAGAACTTTCAATTTCGACTCTCGAACCTTCGAGTTCGTCATAGAACTTTCAACTTCGTCGAGTACACCTTCGGAACTTCAATTTCGTCCCTTTAGGAAAATCGACTTCGTCGTTCGGAACTTCAATTTCGTATTACCGGGGCAATTATGCCAGTACTCTCACACGGTCAGCAAAACACGAGCCTCATCGTAAGAGTCGATTTTCACAAGATCCTCTTCTTCAACTGATGCAAAGAAGAG